CCCTGGCCGTAGCCCCCTGGCCCTGGCAGGCATGGGACAGCCCGGAGGGAGAGGGGTAGGAGGAGGGAGCGCGAGGCTTCCAGCACATGGCCGGGAGGTGTGCAGAGGTGAGGATGGAGCCGTGCCAAGAGGATGCCGGGCGTGCTATGCTCTGGTGTGCATGGGCCTGTGTGCTGAGCTGGAGCATCCCTGCTTTGCATCAGACAGCGAGCTGTCAGGCTGTGCTTACCCCCTGGTCCCTGTCCTCCCCATAAGTTGTGTTTTGAGGTCAGGCAGAAGCAAGGGGCTCCCTTGCCAGATTAGCTTCTGGTGGGGAAGCAGTAAAGCAGATGAAGGGTTTTGGTTGGGGAATGAGAGAGCAGGCGTGGGGAAGCAAGTGAGGACAAGAGGCACTAAGGAGGCAGCTTTGGGATGGCGAGCAGGGGCAGAGCCGCTGGCAGGGGGTCTGGCTGGCTGCGTGGTGGAGAGGGTGGGAGATGAGGCCAGGGCCGTGCTAGGCGGGTGATTAGGTTAGTCACCACGCACTGTCAGTGTGGGTGCAAGAGAGGGGAGGCAGCAGGGGCAGTGGAGGGGAGCCTGGGAAGGAGCTGAAGGGATGAGATGGGGTTGCGCAGGCAGCTTCTGCCAGGGTGAGGGTGTTTGTGGTGCTTCCAAACAGGGTTTGTCCCTGCTTGAGGCAGGTGGAAGGTGTGCGGGCAGTGCTTGCTCCTCTCCTGGGCAGTGGAGCGGAGAGGAAGGCACGGCTCCATGCAGAGCAGGGAGCCAGCGCAGGAACCCCGAGGCTGGGGAATGTCCTTCCTGTCATCCAGTCCGTGGGCTCCTCGGCATGGCCACCAGGTTTCAAAGCCTTTCTGGTGCTCTCAAATCACATCTTCATGTACTTCCCTGCACTCGCCGCCACCAGCACAAACTCCCTGCTTTGCTTTATACCTGACCCGCGCCGGGGATGCAGTGCTGGCATCAGCCACGTGCATGGATGGGCATGTTCGCCACCCCTCGAGGGGGAGCAAACTGCTGGTGTCTGCAGGGGTCTCCTTCACATCTTTGGTTTGCACTCTCCAGAAAAGTGAATCCGAGATCTCAGGTTCCTCCACTAGACCCCGAGACATCTAACAGCTGTCTGTGGGAGCCCCCAAGGGATCCTGAGCTTGTTTGTTTTCTGCAAGCACATTTTTCAGCTGCCTGTTGCTGCAGCCTCTAAGAGGCCACAGCTGAAGAGGGGTGTGAACCAGAGTCCTGATGTCCCCCCTGCTCCTTATGAAAAAACTTGACGAGGTGAGGATTAGCACAGCTGTCTTCCTCCCCATCCACCCTCCTATCCTGCTTGTGCTTTGCTTTGTTGCTTCCCTCTGCTCTCACCTTCGCCAACTCTGTCTCTGCTAGATCTGCATGCAACTAACCCTTAGCTCAGCATCTCCCAGACACGAGCTCTTGCTCTCCTCCAGGCCTTAGCCTGGATGCTGAGGGAGGTCCATTGCTTCTTTCTGCCCTGGTCCCCTTGGGACTGAGCACTGTTGAGCCGTGAGGTGTAGGTGAGACCCCTGGGGTCAGTACAAGCTGTACTGTGCACCCTCTATCACGAGAGGAGGCTGGATGCTGTGAGGAGCTAGAGAGTCCTAGCAAGAAGGAAGGACATAGGACATGTTTTGGTGTCCTCAGCAGTGGCCTGGTGTCCATCCAGGGGAGCTCCCAGACTGGCCACAAATAGGAGTGTGTGGAAGTTGCAGGGTGTCCCAGTTGCTCCTGTCCTCTGGCCACCGATACACATGTACACCCTGTCCTGTGCCGCTGTGTGCCAGCCCTGACATCCCACGGCCACCTTGCAGTGGTTGGATGTGAAGGCACAAGGTAGGAGGCCGGTCCCTGCCAGGAGGGAGAGATGTGGGGATGGCAGCACGCACAGGACGTGGCTCAGGCAGGGTAGGGATGTGTGAGTGAGCTCGGAGAGGGATTTCCGTGTGGGCAGAGGTGTCATGTGGGTGAGGGAATGGCAGGAACTGGGCCATGCGCACAGGGGTGGATGAAGGGAGAGCCCGTGAGGAACAGTGACAACAGGCAAGAGGTCTCTTCCAGGCTGGGCTGCCTCAGAAAGGATGCAAGGCTGAGCCATCTCCTCATGCCACTAGTCCTGCCCATCCCTGCCTCACACATGCAGCCCATGAGGAGCTGTTGGGACCAGCTGTGGGCTGGGGCCTCTGCCTGGCTCTCTGCCCGCAAGGGACAGTGCTGGTTGCCCCGCAGGCTGAGGAGGTGCTGCCGGAGCCAAGTGGGATCCTGCCACTGTCTTGCCACACCATGGGTGTACGTATATAAATGATCCTCCTCCTAACACAGCGGTGCCTCCAAGACGCCTCTCTAGCCTCTCACTTTTGTTATGGACCTTGACTGGGGTTTTATAGCTATATTTTTTGTCCTTTTCTTTTCCTAAACTGTCGTGTTACTAACTGTTGACTCAATCTATCTGGGAAATCAATCTGTCAATGTAAGTGCACTTAACCCTTGGGTGTTGTCATTAGTCGACTGGCCTTTGCTAAATAAATCTTTCTATTTCTCAAGGCTTTCTGTTGTCTCTTCCTTCTCGCTGACTTTCTCTTTCTCCGTATTTCTCTCCCCCTCCATGCTGGGAGGCAGCACTGATGGTGCCATCCCTTGGCCTTGTGCAGACCCTCTCCAACCTAAGCGTCCTCCCCTGCAGGACCCTTGCTTGTGGTGCCAGCCTGAGGCTGCCCGTGAGTGTGAGGTGCACCAAATATTGCTGGAAGTAGAGGGGGTTTCGGTCTTCCCCTTCAGCCACTGCACCGTGGCTGTCAGTCTCTCAGGACTGACCCAACAGCTTCAGGGTACCAGCAAAGTTACCAGCATCTGCAGAGATCCCCGGAGATGCAGAGATGCTAGGCAGCACTTTCAGGGGCTGGGGAGATTTATGGCTGCCACGGAAGGAGAAGTCAGGAGGAGCCTCTCTTAAAGGATGGTGGAAGCGTTGCGTGGGCAAGAGCAGCAGGCAGACAGGGTTGGCTGCTCCTAAACTCCTTCGTTCTGCTGCTGGCAGGAGCGATGGAGCACTGCCCTCCCGCGGCGGCTGCCCAGCTGGTGGGGCTACTCAGGGGGCCTGGGGGCTGCAGCCTCCCGTTGCTTGCACTCCTTCTCCCACAGGGCCTGGAGCCTGCGGTTGTACCCCTTGCACCTGTAGCCCTCCTGGGAGCTGTTCTGGATGTGAGTCTGGACTGAGCAGAACGTGGGGAAGATGCGGCAGCACGACACACACTGGTAGCCACGCTGGAGCGCAGGCTGCAGCTGGGAAGCAGTGAGGATGTCCTGCACCGTGATGCTGGTTTTGCAGTTGGCCAGCCTCTCCCTCTTGGGGTTCTGGGGCTTGTCTGACGAGCCGGAGGAGGAGCAGACGATCTCCAAGGGGTCTTCAGGCTCCTCATGCTCCTAGGTGCTGGCAGCCCGGCTGGAGGAGGGGAAGCT